AAATAAATACATTTTTTACAAGTTAGTAAGCCTAAACAAAAAATTAGTGAACCTCACTGAAGGTGAAAGCAGAGTCAACGATGTATATTAACAACACTTGCCAGTGTGGGAAACAAAATGAAATATACTTAAGCGATACTGGAGGAATCTCACCGAGGAAAATAGAAATTCTATACTACACTTATGAGTCCCCAGTGTATAAAACTGTGCTTGACGTCATTGCTAGTCCTTGCTTTTTCTTGAGGGCTGAACTTGCTTACAGTTCTGGAAGGACTCAGTCTTGCTTTGCAGGGTTGTCAGAAGCGTTCACCTTGCTGACTTCATTGCTTCCTTGCAAAGATATCGATGTCTTTCCCTCTGCATCCTGTAGTCTGCTTTCAGCAATCCTTGCCTCACTCGTTGAATGTTTTCAGCTATTTAGAAACTTTCACCTACCAGGGAAAGAAACACTCTGCTCCACGCAAAAAATCCAGTGTCCTTCCTGTGTTAATCTCGTCTATTAATCTTGAGTTTCTCATGAGGGAGCGATGCATAGTAAGATCATCCTTCTGTAGATAGGACACGTGTGCAGTGCTTGACGAGTACGACCGGGCCCGTGGATTTTACCGAACAGAGGAAAGAGGAGAAGCGGGTGACTTCTCACCGCTGCCGTGCCACATCCCAGGGAATACCAGAAGCATCAAGACAAGCAGCAGTGAAAAAAGCCTCGTGGGCCAGAGTAACTGTCACCTTCTGCCTCACAGGGAACGGACCCCTGTCAGCCACCACTCAATGTGGATTATCCCCAGAAGTTCACTTCCTAAAACGAGACCAGATTCCCACACGGATAGATAGCAATTGCCTCAGTTGCATCCGACTCTGTGCAACCCTGTGGACGGTATCCTGCCAGGCTCCTCTGTCGGATGGGATTCTCCAGGCGAGAACCCTGGAGTGGGTTGCCGTGCCCTACTCCAGGGGATCTTCCTGACTCACGGATCGAACTTACCTCTTCTGCAATGGCAGGCAGGCTCTTTACCGCTAGCGCCACTTTATCAGTGATGAACAAATCAGAGAGAGAATATCGGTTCAGTTCAGTTCAGTTCAGTCGCTCAGTCGTGCCCGACTCTTTGAGACTCTATGAATCACAGCACGCCAGGCCTCCCCTCCCTGTCCATCACCAGCTCCTGGAGTTTACCCAAACTCATGCCCAACGAGTCGGTGATGCCATCCAGCCATCTCATCCTCTGTCGTCCCCTCCTGCCCCCAATCCCCCCAGCATCAGGGACTTTTCCAATAAGTCAACTCTCCTCATGAGGTGGCCAAAGTACTGGAGTTTCATCTTCAGCATCAGTCCTTCCAATGAACACCCAGGACTGATCTCCTTCAGGATGGACTGGTTGGATCTCCTTGCAGTCCAGGGGACTCTCAAGACTCTTCTCCAACACCACAGTTCAAAAGCATCAATTTTTCGGCGGCTCAGCTTTCTTCACAGTCCAACTCTCACATCCATACATGACCAATGGAAAAACCATAGCCTTGACCAGACGGCCCTTTGTTGGCAAATTAATGTCTCTGCTTTTTAATATGCTATCTAGGTTGGTCATAACTTTCCTTCCAAGGAGTAAGCGTCTTTTAATTTCATGGCTGCAGTCACCATCTGCAGTGATTTTGGAGCCCCCCAAAATAAAGTCTGACACTGCTTCCACTGTCTCCCCATCTATTTCCCATGAGGTGATGGGACCAGATGCCATGATCTTAGTTTTCTGAATGTTAAGCTTTAAGCCAACTTTTTCACTCTCCTCTTTCACTTTGATCAAGAGGCTTTTTAGTTCCTCTTCACTTTCTGCCATAAGGGTGGTGTCATCTGCATATCTGAGGTGATTGATACTTCTCCCGGCAATCTTGATTCCAGCTTGTGCTTCTTCCAGCCCAGCGTTTCTCACGATGTACTCTGTATATGAGTTAACATACTTGTCCCCAAACCACACGGTACAGAAATGTCAAAACGCACAGTCTCTGCACATAAGACTGAATAGAAGAACAGAGCAAACAGGAGCCAATAGCTCTAAGGGTCCAGGTCTGAAGCAGGAGGCTGTGAGGGGCAGGATTCCGGGGGCTCCCACGACATGTCTCGGATGGGCTAATTTTTATCAGTTCAGTTCAGTCGCTCAGTCGTGTCCAACTCTTCCAAAAAATAATCAAACCAAAAAACTGTCAAGGAATAAAGTAAAGGGGGTGTTCCATGGTAACCCCCCATGGAACAGGGGGGTTTTATAGGAGGAGGGACAGGCATCAGATTTTTTTCCTTCAAGTTAAAAGTGTGACCAAAGTTTGTAAATAAAAGAAGAAAGGAGGGAAGGAAAAAGCCTCTGGGATCAGTGAGATTTTTCTCTCTGGATAAGTTGCTCGGCAGAAAGAGGTCACCCTGGCCGTCTTCTCTGGGCCCGGTTGACCAGGTCACCAGACAAAACAATGGACAGTTACTGGAGGGCTTTAAAAATGTTCAGTGACTAACTCTCCACCAGAAGCGATAGAGTATCTCTGTGTAACGCCTCAGCGTCGCCCTATTGTCTTTCCCCGTGGTTGGGTCGGGAGGCCACGGCTCCCTCTGTTAGTTAAGAGGATCACAGGGAGATGTATACAAAGATTGTTGTGCTGCCAAAGTAATTGAAGAAAGGGACACTGAACGACCGGAAAATAATTTGAAATACGATTCAGTCCCACTTCTGTGGAAGGCAAACTTGCAGGATTTACCAACTTAAGAAGCATATACATACTAAAGGTAGCAATTGCACTTCCAGGCTTCTACACTGTGGAAATAAATGCCTGCACAAATGGTCAGAAGTGTGAGTACAATAAGGATGGTTGCCGCATATCTGTTATCATCACACCATGAAACCAAATAATACACGAACCATGTAGGAAACGCCTTTCTGAAAAAACAATGCAGAGGCTGCTGCTGCTGGTGGGTTCACTGATAACACTACTGACAGAACAATTGCTAAGTGCTGGCCTCCTTTCACAGCTGAAAACCCTGGGGCACAGAAGACGTGGGGCACTTAGACCTGTCTAAGTCTAGGTACTTGGCAGAAAAAAAGGCTTGACCCCACCCGAAACTCGCTTCCTTGATCTCCCTCCGGAGGTCCTGCGTCAGGCAAGTATGAGTGAATAGGAATACACTTGCACTTGCAGAGTATAGGGCTGGAAAGGTGAGGTGGCTAGGACCCCCGTGTGCAAGAGAGCAGATTTTTGTGTGGAACCGCCTGAATGGTCGTCAGCACGGAACACCTTGAATGGGTTCGAAAACCTCAGCCGCCCGTCCCTGGGTGGGCTCGAACCACCAACCTTCCGGTTAACAGCCGAACGCGCTAACCCATTGCGCCACAGAGACAGCGCCACAGCGCGTCCCTCCACTCTTTCGGCTGGAGACAAAGAGTGCCTCCTGCTCCGCCGAGAAACGGTGCCAGTTCCACAGCCTCGGGAAAACGCAAAGATGAGAACGGTGAATCACACTGGACCTGAGACTGGGTCAAGGCCAGGAGAAGACTACACAAAACACCGTTATCCTAGGGCAGACAAATTCCGGAAAGCTCTTGAGAATACTCCCCCTCCCTCTGATGCATTTCCCACCCGGTCCACTCATCCTCCCACCACAGGAAAGAAGGCTTCCCCTTTGTGTTCTGGGCGCAGAGAGCCAGGCGAGAGCCAAGGGGGCAGCTGCACTTCCCCGTGGGCCTTCCCGAGGTAGGTGGTTCTAGCGCTCAGGCTGACCCAAGACCCCACTGTCCACCAAGACGACCCGGAGGAGTCCGGATAGCAGAGGGTCCTGGGGGTGGGGGATTCCTACAAGCGCAGAGCGTGCCTGGCCTGCACGTCCTGAGAACCGAACCGGACTCCCCCTGAAGCTTCTCTGCATTCCTAAAGAGAATGGACTTCAGGTTTCCATGAGGAGAGTGAGAAAGCAAACGTGGGAAAACGTGAACTGTGCAGTTGAGTACAGAATACACGATGTTACTATTCCTGTAACTTGGAGTTTGTTTTGGAGGGTTTGGGGTTTGGTTTGGAATGAATCTTTGGAACTCGAGTCCCTGATTCTCTTTGGATGAAAACGCTGTAAGGAAGACTCTGGGTTTCTATCAAGCAGAGAGAAAAGAGTGGAGAGGAGAGCTGGGCAGCCCAGGCTGTTGACTGCACACGGGGAGTCTCCTCCAGCCTGCCTGATGTCAAGGGCCCTGAGGCCGGGACTCACTGGCATCGGGACTCTGTGCAGACGCTCTTCTGCATTGGACCTTGAAGCAAAAGACAGATCTGATCTGGGCAGGAAGACTCCGAGGAATGGAGAAGAAAAGAGCTTTCCCTGACCGGGAATCGAACCCGGGCCGCGGCGGTGAAAGCGCCGAATCCTAGCCACTAGACCACCAGGGAACCGTACGGAAACGCCGCCTTGGCGGTCCAGGTGAAAATTGACAGTGGAAAGATGAAACCAGAGATGCAGAGAACAGGAAACGAAATGTCCCAGCGCCACTAATGGCTGTATGCAGCTGTGCAAGGCTCCCAGCCCTTGACCCGCTGCTCATCGCCCTTCAAATGCCCGTTCCTGGGCGACGCTTCTCGTTCTGAGACCAGGTCACAAACTTATCCGGTAGGGTCCCTCCTTCCTGGTCCCACTCTAGCGCTGTGTGCTGCCGAGCCCAGGTCATGCTCTCTTTGTGAACCTCGGTTTTCCCTCGAGTCAGGCGCTGACTTGGCTTTCAGCGGGTGATGAGCGGATCCGTCTACCTGCAGATCTCTGACCTGGCCTCGGGGCCTCTCCTGACGACCGCACGGGTACCGGTTCCTTTCCCTCCGCGACCGGCTGAGTTCGCGGAGCCTTATATTCTTCACGTCCATGTGTTTGGCTGGAGTCCACGGCGAGACCTGGGTGCTGTCTCTTTTCTTCTACCAGGGAGACAAAACTGTTCCTCAGGTGTTCCGAGGTGGGGGAACGCAAGTGAGCGTCACGGGAGTGAACTCCATGCTGTTCAGAGACAATCTGTGAACACGTGGAAGAGACCCAGGCGCCCGACAGGGAGCCGAGGGGGTTTCCGGACGGAAAGGTGACTCGAAGTCAGTCTTGTCCTTCCCCGCCCCGCCCCTCCCGGGGATGAACTGGGCCTGGACTCACAGGGACTCGGAGCAGAGAAAGGAGGGCTGCTTCCTAGTGCAGAGTAGACTTCCAGGTGGTCACCAACTCCTCCTACAGCTGCGTGGTCTGCTTCACCCCGAGCCTTTGGAACCTTTTGGTTTTGCCAATCAGAATGCACCTCTCGACGGGGGAGCGTAAGGGGGGGAAGAGCGGGGAGCGGGGTTGGAAGAAAATAAGCTGTCTGTTTCCGCCCGGTTTCGAACCGGGGACCTTTCGCGTGTGAGGCGAACGTGATAACCACTACACTACGGAAACAGGACACCCGGCATGGCCTACCACTGTATCCATGAAAAGCCGAGGTCCCGCCATCGGTATCTAGACCATCGATTTCTAACACTCTAACAGGAACCTTAAAGCCCCAAGCTTTCTCAGGCACGGACACGGCGGCTCCCGAGGGCCCTGCTTTAGGGTTCCTCATCTCCCCTCAAGTGAGGACCCTCGGGCCCCCACAGGCTGCCTTCGGGGTCCCGCACCCAACGCAGAGTCGTCAGACCCTCAGCTCCGCACCCCATCGCAGGGGTCGCCCCCCGCCGACTCCCCAGCTCCCGGAAGGCGCAGGAGGCGGGGACTGGGTGCGACCGAGGCCCAGGAGACCCCGCAGCCCAGCGGTGTGGACGCCGCCCCTCCCGCGCTGCGGACCCGCGCCTCGGCGGCCCTTTCCACGGCGCCGGCGGTCAGCGCTCCGGGCTCTCAGGAATGACCGCCGCTTCCAGTGCGCCCGGATCCCGCCCTCCCCGCTGCTCCTCTGCGCCTGATTCCTGTGCTCTTTCTCCGCAAGCCGGCTCGCCGCAGCACTTCTCCGGTGTCCCTTTGGCAAAAGGGAGTCTCTTTGGTGCTCTCTAAAAACCGCACCCCGCCGTCCCTGGGTGGGCTCGAACCACCAACCTTTCGGTTAACAGCCGAACGCGCTAACCGATTGCGCCACAGAGACAGCAGCACAGGCCTTTTCTGGACTCTCTATGGAGTAGACACTTACTCATGGCCAGGGAGAGTCCCCTGCACCCAGGATACGGGGCCACGGCCTTGCCCCTACCCGCCACAGATGCCAGCGCCCTCAGAGACACCGGGATCCAGGGCTCGGACCCTCCGGGCCTGAGCCGAATGAAATCCAAGGACAGCTGAACACCCGGTGGGCTCCCATGATGGCTCTTCCTGTGTCCTCGCCTACATCCAATGAATGAGAGTTTGCCCACCCTGGCAAAGGCCTCCGGGCCGAGGTTGTGCTTAGGTTCCCTGTGTCCACCAGGCGATTTCCACCAGGGCAGAGGTCGCGGGGATGGCCGCCCTGTGTCCGCACGCCCAGGACAGGGACTGGCACTCAGCGGGACGCTCTAGGACTTGGATGAATAGATTGTCGTCTTTAGCCCTTTGTCCCATCAAGACCCCTGAGAGCGGAAATACCGAAACGTTTTCCAAGAGCGAAAAGTTCGAAGGGAGGGGAAAGATGAGAGAGGAAGGCCAGGGAGGGGAGAATCATAGAATTTGTGCTTCCACCCGTCCCTGCTCCTTCTCTTGCCTTCCCTCTTCTTCTTCCTCTTCTTCCCAACCCTCCAACTGTGACATGTTGACAGGGCCACATCTGAGAAGAAAGACCCGACGAATCTGTGCTCAGGAGCACAAGCTCTGGGTTGTAAAAATGGTTCTGCCCTGGGTGGCCTTGAACAAATAAAGAAAACTTTGGGTGTCTCCCTACTTTCTTGTGCAAAATGGGAGCAATAGGAGCATTCTTCTTCATTCTGCTCTTGTCAGATGTGCCTGGGTTTAGAGACTACTGGATCAATAATGCTATAGGCAGCAAAATCATAAATACTATCATCACAATCCTCTGAATCTTTTGACAACCCCTGTCCTTGTTTATTTCCCCTGAAAGTAGCTTTCTGCCTCTGGAAATTTCTGTAAACGGCTTGCTCTTGCGGTTTGCTCGACTGTGGCCAGGCCACCCCCTTCATCGCCAGTTCTCTGCTTGCTAGACGGGGACCCAAGTGCAGGTTGGAGGAAATGGGAAGAGCACAGAGCGGTGGGGAAAACGGGCCTTTGTGCACCCTTTGGAGAGGCCTCTGGGACCGGTGGGGTCCTCCCGCTGCCTTCTTTGGTTTCAGGGGAGCTCCGAGAGGGCAGGGGTCTGGTGGCGGTCACTCTTGTGTCCCCTCGCCGAGAACAACTTGAGGGCCTCCTCACTCAGTCTCTCAGAGACCCTCAGAGCGTCCTGCCCAGAGAGCAAGGTACTGGTGCTTCCTGGCATGGTGGGAAATATTCCCGCATCTTCCTCCTAACCGTGGAACCCGGAGGTGGTGGAGGAACACTAGCGACAGAAGGAGAAGGTCCAGAAAGACAGGGTGGAATGGGAGGGGAAGGGGCTGCAAAGGGGGGATGAGGAGAAAGAGAGCCAGGAAGAAGGGGAGATGAGAGCGAGGTGGATGGAGCCCTACAAAGGGAGGCGGATAGAGTGGGAGGACCAGCGAGAGGGAAAGGGCAGTGGAGGGCAGCGGGGAGGAGGCGGAGTTACCTCCCCAGGGCAGTTCTCTTCACTGGCCCCCAGCACAGGCAGCTCCCACCACATACATCCCCACAGGCTCCTTGGCTCTCAGATCCAACACCCAGGCTTTCGTCCGTCACAGACGGTCTCTCCACCCGTTGCAGTTCTAACCTCATTTGGTTTTCCTCCCTGCCCCTTGTGAGCCTGGTCCTCTAGGTTTCCTGGCCATTCTGTGGTCTGTCAACATACTTTCTGTGTGTTTCTTCTCTTCCTGTATCAGCCAGAGACCATTACTGATCCTTGCACTCATAAACTTTGACTGACCTCCAAGGGCTCCTGGACGGGCACTTGGTGGTGTTTGTGACCCCTCAGCTTCTCGGTTTTCCAAAAGGAAGTTTCATCTTTTCATCCCGGGGCTGCGTGCGAACTTCCTCCTCCTAAGAGGCGCCTCCCCTTTGCCTCCTTCCTCCCGTGTCAACCTCTGTCCAGCCTCTGGGAACAAAATACGTGTCTCCAGGAAACACTGGCCACCTTTCCGACTCCTTTCTTTGGGCTGCAGCTCTCTTCTTCCGATGCTGTTTTTTTCAGGTCTGTGTACTGGATGAGGGAAGAAATGGCTTTGCGATAGAATGAAGAAGTAAAGATTATTACTTGGAGACATCATGTGGACTTATACTTATTATACATGTAAATAGTTAGTGTGGTGGTATTTTGTGTACATAAATACTGTCTACACTGTAAGACAACTTGGATACATACCTTCCAAATAGGTGTGCACTCTTCTTTGTTAAACTGTGCAGTTTCTGGATATGTTAAGCAATTGGAATGAAACTGACGTGACCAAGCTCTGACAAGAGTCTGTGACTGCCTACGTGTCAGAGCCCTGCCTCGTGGGCTCCACGACATGTGGTTGATCTTGAGCCGCCCCCAGGTGCTTTTGGCCTAGTTTGTCTGAGGGTTTTGTGTAAATGTTCATCTTTCCTTATACTGCAAACCTGACAAACTTGGGGAGAAACACCCCCCCCCCCCCCAATCAGAACTGTATGGAGAAGAAAAGGAGAGTTCTCCTGCCTCCATTCCCACTCCACACACTGTATATGTTACACATAAGAGGTGGTGGCGGTGGCTTTGGAGTGTAATCGGTGCTACAGGAAATCCAAGGGACCCAGGAGATCCCACCTCCTGCCCTGAGGATCATCTGCCCTCTCTGGGCTCTGGGGAAAGGGTGAAGGCAAAGGAAAGGAAAATAGCACTCTCATTTGCAGAAATTTTACCTCAGCATGGGACACGCTGGCAAACCGAGGCAGAATATGCGATTGATGACGGTGACTTAAGGGGGCCCTTCCCTGACCGGAAACCCGGAGTGGAAAGTTTACTTCCTTTTCTGAGGTGCGCTGTGAACTGAGAGATGTCAGTCAAAGGAGAGGAGCAGAGAGAAACCAGAGAGGGCTGAACACCAAAGCGGGTCATCCGTACTCAGATCTTGGGTCCTTGGAAGAACTGCCCTGAGATTATGGGTGGGACGTATGGAGCCTGAAGAAGCGGGTACCGTTCTCTGGCGATGGAAAGAAGTTGGCTTTTAAAGAGGTTCCATGGTGTAATGGTGAGCACTCTGGACTCTGAATCCAGCGATCCGAGTTCAAATCTCGGTGGGACCTTTCTGTTTAATTTCAAGAAGGACACGTTTTACTCCCCTCATAGGACCTGCTTTCCGGCTCCCGCGACCCCCAGCGGCGTGGCTCACACGGACACGGCGGACAGGTGTGGGGCCGAACGGGACCGGGGGCGTCCTCGCCGGGCCCGGACGGCTCTGGCCGTCGGAGGGCCGGCGCCTCCCCTGCCCTCCACCTCCCGGCCAGGGGCGCAGCGACGCCCCCTCGTCGGGTCCCCTGGGTCTCGGCGGGTAAAAGGCAGAGGCTGCGCCCACCGAGTCCTGCCCCTCGAGGGGGCTTCGCACCGCACACCTTGTAACCGCACGGTTGTCCCGGTGCGTAAATGGTGGCGGGGAGGGGCTGCGATGTCGCTGATCAGCCAGGATGGCAGCCTGGACCAGGACGGCAGGTCCAGGGTTCCAGACCTGACCGGGATGAACTATGCTTTATTCAGGTTCTCTATTATTCCGAATATTAATTGATCTTGTCCCAGTTTATTATGATTTTATTCAGAGTTTCTCGCTCCTAAGTCTCCGCTGGGCACGCAAAGCCGCTCTTCGGCCAAGGTTTGAACTTTGACTTCTGGAAATCGCGTCCTTTGGTCCCAAGCTCAGCCCGAAAGAGGAGCGCGGGCCGCGGATTCCGGCGTCTGAGGAGACCCCAGGTCCCTGGCCCACGGCCGCCAGGCCAGGCTGCTGCGGGGCCGAAGGGGAGATGGGCCGCTCGGAGTCCGCACCCCCGGCCGGGCCCCCTTCGTCCTGCCGAGACTCTGTTCCACCGAGAAGACACCCCACGACGTGAGCGTGGGGTGGACACCCCACTTGTGTCCTCCACTGCTCGGGAGAAAAATCTGGATGAGGCCCGTGATGGACTTGACAAAGCTAGTTAAAATGCTCCCTTCGCGGTGCTAAGGAGCATCTTTCTGACGCTTGTATTTTGGATCTTTCAGCGGTTACAAAGGACTCAATGACGCAGCTGTCTTTGGAGGACGGGAAAAGAAAGGGGTGGGGCCGGCGAAAAGATCCGAGGAAGGGCAAGGGCAGGAGAGAACAGAGGATGAGCCCGAGGGGAGAAAAGGACTGGAAGGGAGAGGAGCGGGCGGGTGCCGCGGTGGGGACGGCCGCTGGGTTGGGGCGACCACAGCGAGCGCCTCACTCTGGAGCAGTTCCCACTCTTTACTGACGTGTCCGGGAACCCGCTTCACCCTAAATTGCAAAGCTGCTGGCCTGGCATTTGTCCTGGCCAAGTTTCCTTCGCGGGTTCCGTCCGGAGCGGTGAGGTGGGCTCTGCCAGTCTGCAGGTGAGTGGAAGTCCTGGCGGCTGCCTTGGGGATGACTGGCGGGCAGGGAAACGCACACACTGCACTTTCCCCCTTTGCAGGCCGGTCTGCAGGGCCTGGGATGGGAAACTGGAAAATCCAGCGTCAATATTTATTTAGAGATAAGGAGATAAATAGCCAAACAGTTGGTTACCTGACCCGAGAGTGTTTATTCGTGGAAAAAAAGGAACGTGGGATCAGATCAGGGTCCACTTTCTCCCATAACAAGTTTTGGGGCATATGTAACTGACTATATATATATATATATATATATATATATATATATAATAGGTATATATATATAATAGGTACATATATTACTGCATCTAATGTATACATATATATTGTATGAGTAAAACTCACCGCTTGTGTGTCCAACTTAAATTTTTATGTAATTATATGTACCAAGCTTTAAAAATTCTGGGTCTAGTGTCATGTGTAGGAATGTTTTCCACTGTAAAAATGTAGGAAAAAAAAAAGAAGAAAGAAAAAGAAAAAATGAGGGGGGGGGGCATTCTCGAAGCAAGCAACTGGACCATTATTCCCCCTTTGATGGGCTGATCACACGAGCTAGTAAACAAACTGGCAGATCCTCTCAGCTTAGGAGGTCACTGCTTTCGTCTCTCTAGGAAGGTTCATAGTCAATGAAAAGTGTCAGCAGCAAATAAAATCACACCCAACCTTTATGCGGTGTTGCTCCCAAAATGCAAGAGCTTACACCCAATGAAGACACGCAAAGTGCCATGTGCCCAGGCATGGTCTACAAATTTTAAATGGGTTTACTCACTTAACCCTTTCAAAAGGCTGGTATCATGTCATCATCCTCATTTCACATATGAGAAACCTGAGACATAGAAAGGTTAAGTAACTTGTCAAGTCAGTCAGTGAGTGGGATCTGAAAGCAGGAATTTGAACGGAAGGCTTCCTGGCTCCACAGGATATCCTACCAGTCAAAGAGGAACACAAACCATAAAAATGCTTGACAAGAAATTTAAGTCCGTCTATTTCTTTTGAAAAATCACCCAAGAGGAGTCACGTAACAGGCATTCAGTTCAGTCGCTCAGTCGTGTCCAACACTTTGGGACCCCATGGGCTGCAGCACGCCAGGCTTCCCTGTCCATCACCAACTCCCGGAGCCTGCTCAAACTCAAGTCCATCCAGCCAGTGATGCCATCCAGCCATCTCATCCTCTGCCGTCCCCTTCCCTCCCGCCTTCGATCTTTCCCAGCGTCAGGGGCTTCTCCAGTGAGTCAGTTCTTCGCAACAGGTGGCCAAAGTATTGGAGCTTC